GGAAAAACACAGAAGTGGGCGGAGCTTTGATGCAGACGCCGGTAACGGCACTTTTACAGTCATAGAAGACACGAGTAAAGAGTAAGACGTATGTTTACAAGCACTGACCCCGTCCTCAGCCCTGGTTTAGTCCGGGTTTAGTCCTGGTTTAGCCCTGGTTTAGTCCTGGTTTAGTCCTGGTTTGGTTGTTTTCGAGCGTGAGTCCCCGCTTTTAAGGTAGTATGATCCATGCATCAGTGATCAGAGGAATTTAGGGGGGTACTGTGGCGTGTGAGAACGCAAAACTCCGGTTATCTCTGTCTACACACAAATGCATTAACGGAGTTTTCAAAAATCTCCACTTTGCCCGGAGTTTTTTGTATATATTCGTTTAGAATGTGTAATTTTTTCATTTATTTAATGCGATCTACAAATACTACCTTTGCGATCGACTGGTAGATCGCGATCGACGTATTGAGCACCCCTGCTCTAATCCTTCTACAACACAATGTAGTGCTCGATGAAAATACAACTATCATAGATTTCATAGCTTTTTTCTATACGGCTGTTAACCTAAAGGGATAATGTAGGCTACATTATCCCTTTAGGCAAACTACACCTTTTTTTGTAAGTGATAAAATGTGTGGATTAAATTTTAAGTTTTAATTCCTCATGTACATACAAATATGGTCGTGAATGGTGTCCGTGTGACCTCAGAAGACCATGCCCGACTGCACTGGAGTGGGCTTCCTCAAATACCTCAGTTCTCATCTTTGCTGGAAGAAGGCGTGGGGCTGCACATATTAGACAGGCTTACACATACATGTAATTGCATCCAAGTCGTTGGAGGTTCATCGCACATTCAATCCCACCCTGGGCCTTTTAATCAGTGCGTGGACGTGGTATAATGGAGTGGGCAAATACATGATTACTGTGGAGGATAATCCAAATCTGTGAAGACTAATAGTTCACACATAGCATTAGATGCAAACAAAAAAGCTGCAAGATCCTTTAAAAGCACTATTTCTAGTTCAAATCAAGTGACATTATTAGCCTGACCCGCCAGAACCAAACAACTCTACAATAATTCTGTTTACAAATACTGGAGGGTCTGGTTTTGTTAGGAAACATTTCATTTGACAGCTAAAGAATCAAAGCGAAAAACAGTAAATATTTGTCTTAATTGTGTATATCAACAACATGCGCTTGGCTATTTCTCACAACAAATAAGAGTTTATGTACTTGAATAATCTGTAAAAAACAATTCATCACAATAGTAGCCACCATCTTGGATATTTGAGCAAAGCAAGCTCTGGGTTTGCAGTTTTCAATTCTTCTTGTCTAGCCCTAAACCCCCAACAGTAGTTATCTTGGACGACTTTATAAAACTGTTAAATTTGGACAGGAAATGAACTGATAAATAAACACATAGAGCCATTGGTCCATAAAGGGAGATGACCAATGTTCATAAACGTGGATACATGGATGTGGAGTGTCCTGGATCATCACCGCTGTCCTTACACCCTCCTGCTTTGACAAGAAGCTGAGGTACTGAGAATGAATGCAGCCAACCCCAGACCCTTCTCTATCTGAACACGATGTTGACAGAATGTAGAAGGTCATGGGTGCTCAGGCAAACGAATTATGACTTAGTAAAATCATAAGAGAGAGAATAACTCCACCTATTTCTTTAGATCCATTCAACACACGGTTGTTGGGTGGCAAACGCTCTGGCAAAAAGGAGTTAGGTTTAATAGGCAATGTGCAATACAGAGCCACATGTGTCCAGGGTCACTTTACTTGGTCCTGACCCTCATGCTGCTAACATGCACAGATTCATACATACAACTGCAGTATATAATGCACTAGAATATACAGTATTGCTTCTTTATAATGCTAAAGATACAGACTTTTTACTATGCTAAAGTCAGAGATTGTATACTGTACTTAATTCTTGCGTCTCATTATGCTAGGGTTAGATATGTTGTTTAATGTTATTTTAGTAAAGAGTTATTGCTCATTTATCTTGCGTTGCGTGCTCTTCATTCGTAAACAGTGATGCAACACTGAAATCTCCCCACAGTGGGTCTTTGTTATATGGATTTAGTTTCAAAGTAGATCAAAATAACAATAAATGGCGAGAATGGAGAGATCAGATGTGCTAGAATAATAACCAAAACAAAAGAGGCCTATTATTTCAAAACAGAATTCATCTCAATGTGTTATTTTGGTTTCTTAAAAATGTCCTAATGAAGTATATTTAGAAGCAGTTGGTTACACAGTGCCCCATGAGTTGTTGCAACCATAAAAACTAAGATATTTTAGTGGGATAATTACAACTGTTATGCGTTGGCGTCACAAACTGGCTCAAGGTTTGTGACGAACGAGAGAACCGGCAGCAGCACAACACACAATGTAAGACTGGGGTCATCACAGTTGGCCTCAGATGTTTGTTCAGAGAATATTGGTCGTTAAACATCATCATGAAGTCCAGGAACAAAAAACTGATTAAGCCATTATCCAGAAATCTAAAGAATATGACAAAACTGACACATCCGTCCAAACAAATGAATTGAACAACCTGGCTTATGTTTACTGTTATGTTTGAGCCATCATTGATTAGCATCCTGGATTTGAAATACATTTTTAGTCTTCAGTCTATGGGAGATGCAAATGTTACAAACTAAATCTAAAAATATCCAGGACAACAAAGTAGTGCATTGGTTTGCCTTAGCTTTGGAAAATATGTTTTTTTTTCTTTTTAAGAACAGACATGAGCAGAAGGAACAGTAGACATAGTGTGTTACTCTAAGATGTGACAAGGATAAAAGGAGTAGGAAAGTAGGCCCACTCCTGACTCATCAATTCCACTCAATAAAAGGGATTCTTAGTTCATGCCTATCTTGAGTTTTAAACTGATTGGGGCAAACAAGCAACCAATAAAAAGCAGCTATAAATAACATTTGTAAAGATGAAAATAAATAAAAAGCGTAGGAGCTTGCTCAGATGTCAGTTTTCATCGAAGCACACTTTTTTTTGTTTCAGGGGCCAATGGGTTGGAAGGAAAAATCAAAAACACAGGGTAAGGGACAGACTGCACAGAGCTGCAGAATCTAAAGCAGCCAAGTCGACATTAAGTAAAGGCTCTGAATAAACGTTAAACTAATGCGACCAGACACAAGCACATTACTTTTCTGTTTCACAGATAAAGGCATATAAAATGTGCACTTCAAGTGACATTAACAAGTGACATTAACTATTTAGCTTCAGTATATATATCCTATTGATATCAGTTAGCACCACAATGGTTGAATGGTCAGCACTTTCCCCTCACAGCATGAAGAACTCTGAGGATTTTTCATGTTTCTCCTACAGGTGGCTCGGTCCAAACCAACTCAAGACCCAGAGATGGGACCAGCGCTGTGAGCTCAACCCAAGGGCACACACACTCCCATGCATGTGTCCATCTATGGGTGTGCAGGTGTCTGTGTGAGGTTCAAGGCCTGTAGTGTGTGTGTGTCTGTAGACTGTGTGTATGTCTGTAGTGTGTGCGTCTGTAGACTGTGTGTATGCCTGTAGTGTGTATGCCTGTAGTGTGTGTGTCTGTAGACTGTGTGTATGCCTGCAGTGTGTGTGAGGTTCAAGGCCTGTAGTGTGTGTGTGTCTGTAGACTGTGTGTATGCCTGTAGTGTGTGTGTCTGTAGACTGTGTGTATGCCTGCAGTGTGTGTGTCTGTAGACTGTGTGTATGCCTGCAGTGTGTCCGAGGTTTCTCATTTTCTCCCACAGGGTTTTTAGACTTTTCCCTTCAGATGTTCCGATTTTTTAATGTTCAAACTCAATCTAAATATAGAAGTTAAAATCAAGGAAGAGATTCACATTATTTTAGTAATCTTTAAAGCCTCTATACAGCCTTCTTTCATCCTTTAGCCATCGCCTATCTGACGTCTTAGCATCTTTTATCTGAAGAAAGGCCTGCTCTGTCTCTTCTAGGATTGGACTATGACCTTCACGTTGCTGCTGGGGATTAAAACAACTCAGGCTTAAGATAAAGAGGATATGAAGTTGAAACTAGGCAACTCCAAGCTGGTCAGACACACGTCAAATGAAGATGAGTTTGACCATAAAATACCCTCTAACCCAACAACCTACAGAGTAAGTGTCAGATAAAGTGACCTCATCTTGGCGTCGCATGCATCAGTATGCATAGACAATAACTGCAATCTTCTACCATCTCTAATCATCTCTATCTCTGAGGACAGATAATCCACATTGGTTCTTTAACAAATATTCACGTCCCCGTCACTGTGTCCTGGGAAATAGAGTGGAGATTCTAGCTGACAGCCTTATCTCGACCCGTTCTGTATAGACTTAGCAGGCTGCCCTTTGCAGTCACTGGTAAGGAAATATACAGTATTTCAATTCATTTTAACCCTGTGGCAAATGTTGTTACTAGTGCATGGTAAGACAATTATATTTGGTTTGAACTATAAATCCATGGGAAACAAAGTATTATCTGTCAGGAAGACTTGAAAATATGTAGGAATAATCACTGCAACTTACGGTAATAACTATTCCATTGTGGCTTTCGTCCCATAAACCATTTGTAGCAACATGAGCCTTTAGCGGTGAACTTTGGGGGCCTGCGTAAGAGGAATCCAAGGAGGAGTTCAGCCAAAACAGTTTTAATATAATAATTGTTCCAATATCTCAATAATTTATTGGACCTGATCAAATATAATGTCCCAAAGAAGTCGCTGAGAAGCGATGGTAGCAGGACCTACAGTATTTGTTGTTTATCAGAACGATTAACAAACAAATTCATTTGCAAAGCCAGACAATGAAGAGCTTCCTTTAGGTGTGTGTGTGTGTGTATGTGTGTGTGTGTGTGTGTGTGTGTGTGTATGTGTATTTGTGTGTATGTATATATGTGTGTATGTGTGTGTAAGTGTGTGTAAGTGTGTGTAAGTGTGTGTAAGTGTGTGTGTGTATTTGTGTGTATGTGTGTGTATGTGTGTGTACCTTCCAGAGTTGTTACGCAGAACTACCAGGGCGTCAGGGAAGCCGTCCAGGTTGTAGTCCCCAAGGTGCAACATTGGTCCAGGTTGATCAGTCACAAAGGTCCACATTGTGTTGCGGTACTGAAAATCTGTCAACACCGGCACCCACTGCGAAACAAAGAAGAAAAAAATATGATTTTAGTTTATCATGTTCACAATGATTATGAAATCCATTTTTTATAAAACTACCTTTAAAATTGACTTGTTTGTAGCCAAGACACCGTTCAAGTTTTTATTGATAATATGCTAGCAAGATGAATAGAGCTGAAGAATGGGGCTGGAGAAGAGCAGCAGGGTCTGTGACCTAGGTCTGTGATCGCAATGTCCTTCAAGCTAAGTCATACTGTAGCTACGTTTATTAAGCATTGGACACTTTAAACTTCTGGAGCTTTGAGCCCACGGCCATGAAACACCCGGGTGCAAAGTTGGTAACAATATTTGTGGACCTGACCTGAACCAGAACCCAATTAGAAAATCAAGTCATTGTTCAAAGAATCAAGAGACATGCAAATAACTGTCCTCGAGTCTCCTGTCCTAAAACATCCGGCAAAGAAGGACGGATCAGTACACAGAGTCCAGTTACTCTGTATTGTTAGTACTTTCATACTGCCCCATTAAGGGCTCACGTTAAAGAATATATAAAGTACAGACGTTTCTGAGTGAAAGGGTTACTTAGTGCCAACCATTAGCATCACACTCAGATGAGGACCTTCACATGAAAAATATACCTTCAATGTGATTATCTGAATATAATGTAAATATAATGTTAGCTGGATCAACAATGGATGGATGTGTGTTTGTCCCAATGAGGTAATAAAGACAACAGATTGTGTCAAATGTTTTGAAATGTGTCTCCACACAACTTTGAATGCAGAGGTTACGGCTCTCATTTATATACAGGAGTGTGAGCCCTGGGGCCAGATGCCGACTGTTTAAACTATTCATGAGTGTTAAACACAGAGAGCAGGTGCAAAGAGTCACCAGAGACATGGATGCCACTAATGGCTCTTAATACTAGCAACAGGTCTGGCAAAGTCAGTCACAGCTGATTACCAATTGACCCAAAATGTATCACACAAGCTATTCTTTCACACCAGCTGTGCTTCCTCTGCTGAAACATGCAGGACAATATGTCCATCTAAATAACAAACCTGCACAGAACACAAATGCCATTTAAGTGAAAGTCACTATTCAAAAGCACCAGTTGCACTCACCCATGCTCCACCAAAGAACTTCCCAATTTAGCAAAATGAATTCAAAGCCTTGTCAGTGGTCTAACTATTCTCTCTCAGCATATTCTACAGGTGTGGTGGTTACACCACGAGGAGAGACTATACCAAGTATATTACTTTTGGGAAAAAAACAAAACAAATGCATGTTCTCCCTGTGTTTTGTCCAGATCCTCCAGGGTGCTATGTGCGAGTAAGTAATTAGGTAATCGTTATTTATTTAATCTGGTTTGGATGTCTCAGTCTTGATGGTTTCAAAGTAAAGATTAAACACATGTTTAATCTTGTTATTATTATTGTTTAAACCCTTGTTATTCTGGGTTGTCTCTCTTATAATAATGGTTCTATAAAAATACCCTCAGATGACCCTTTTAGTTAGAGTTGGTTAGTTTCACAACTTTTCACGTGTTTATTTGTTTCACATTATGCCGTCACTTAAAGTGGTTCTCACCCCCGCTCCTCGGAGCTTACGTCACTCACATTTCCTGTTCAAATCTTCCTCTAAATGGGCGCAGCCTGGAGGACTAAAGGGGGCGTGAACGAGACTGGGCCGTTTACATTGCTCTGGGCGGGGGGCTGCTGACGTCAGGTCTTAGACGTCAGGTCTTGCTTCAGACGTCAGGTCTTGCTTCAGACGTCAGGTCTTGCTTCAGACGTCAGGTCTTGCTTCAGACGTCAGGTCTTGCTTCAGACGTCAGGTCTTGCTTCAGACGTCAGGTCTTGCTTCAGACGTCAGGTCTTGCTTCAGACGTCAGGTCTTGCTTCGGACGTCAGGTCTTGCTTCAGACGTCAGGTCTTGCTTCAGACGTCAGGTCTTGCTTCAGACGTCAGGTCTTGCTTCAGACGTCAAGTCTTGCTTCAGACGTCAGGTCTTGCTTCAAACGTCAGGTCTTGCTTCAGACGTCAGGTCTTGCTTCAGACGTCAGGTCTTGCTTCAGACGTCAGGTCTTGCTTCAGACGTCAGGTCTTGCTTCAGACGTCAGGTCTTGCTTCAGACGTCAGGTCTTGCTTCAGACGTCAGGTCTTGCTTCAGACGTCAGGTCTTGCTTCAGACGTCAGGTCTTGCTTCAGACGTCAAGTCTTGCTTCAGACGTCAGGTCTTGCTTCAGACGTCAGGTCTTGCTTCAGACGTCAGGTCTTGCTTCAGACGTCAGGTCTTGCTTCAGACGTCAGGTCTTAGACGTCAGGTCTTGCTTCAGACGTCAGGTCTTGCTTCAGACGTCAGGTCTTGCTTCAGACGTCAGGTCTTGCTTCAGACGTCAGGTCTTGCTTCAGACGTCAGGTCCTGCTTCAGACGTCAGGTCTTGCTTCAGACGTCAGGTCTTGCTTCAGACGTCAGGTCTTGCTTCAGACGTCAGGTCTTGCTTCAGACGTCAAGTCTTGCTTCAGACGTCAGGTCTTGCTTCAGACGTCAGGTCTTGCTTCAGACGTCAGGTCTTGCTTCAGACGTCAGGTCTTGCTTCAGACGTCAGTGTTGGCGTCAGATTCAAAATTCAAATGTTGTAATACAGGTCGCCAGCAGATGGCGCCTCACAGACGGTTTTAGGCAGAAAGTTTAACTTTCAACTAATTTGCACCAAAGTGACAAAATTATGACCAGGATATGTAGGAAACACTATTGGACACTCATTTATACCGTTTATCAGCAAAAAGAAGTGGATTTGAGGGTGAGTTGTCCTTTAAGTTCATTAGATAGAACAAATGGATGGAAATTACAAACTTATATTTGCCATTTTAAGGTCATTTTCTGGAACTCTGTCACATGGTTCTGTCACATGGTTCTGCCTCCCCTGTCATTACTGCCACTCTGAGTAGATGGGAAAGTGGCTGCTCTACACTGGCAACATAAATGGACCTGAGAGGCTGCAGCCAAGCACCATGTGGTTCATGGACATGAAGGCAGACATGGGTGAAATATCAGTACACTACACACTCCCAGAGGTACCCATAAGATTTATTTTAAAGCATTGGATTGCAGTCATTTTGTGCAAAGGGAAAGGTTCTTTTAGCTCCACAGGGAAAATTAATACACTCGCGAGAAATCTTTGCACTCAAGTCCTTTGGCCTTGGGTGCAAAGAGTGCCTTGAGTTTCCTTTTGCACTGCCTTGAAATTCTCAGACTGGGCTGAAATTCACCAGAAAACACTGATGTGAGCCTTCAGGGACTTAATGTGGGGCCTGCCTCTTCTGTCTAAAGCTGATTAAAGATAACACGAAGCAAAGAGGAATACCAAACATGAATTCACATTTATTATTAGTAATATTAAGAGATTTTCCATGTTCTGTTAATGTTTAATTTTGCATAGTAATGTTCCTTGTTTTTATCCTGTTATCAAATAAACATTAATATTCTTGAATCAATCAAATAAAACAGAGGGCAAAGTTAAAGTGCATTTGACTAAATTGCCTGCAAATATATAATTAGGGACAGAAAACAAATATAATAATAATAATAATAATAAAAAACACATGTGCATAGGCTTTGTTGATTCAATATTTATATTAAATTACCTAAATAAATACAGATTTAAAATGGTTTAAGGTTTTGTAAATAAATGTTTTGTGCTTTCAGCCCGTTAGTCACTGGATATTCGGGGTTTCCCACAGAAAATGTGTTAAGAGTAGTTTTGTCCAGGGGCAGAACCAGTTGGATTATAGTAGGGCTGCATCTGCATTTGTATCTACACACACTACAATGGGCCTCCTCACAGGGCAGAACCAACCCAGTCCAGATGTCCCTAGCAGCAGCAGCAGAACCAGTACGCATGCTGGGAGTGCTGGTCCTTGTTCTGCCCTCACACATTCAACCGATGTGAGAGCAGACGCAGTGATCCGCTCCTCCATATTTGTGGTTATTGAAAAACGGTTATTAATTCCATCCCTAGTGACTAGTTTAGAGCTGCTATGTAAGTGATAAGACTACAATAGAAAAACACATCTCAATAGTCATATTAAAGGTGCAGTTAGCGATGTTGTTAGCTTAGCCGTAGCACCAGCTGGAAACCACTCCCCCCTCCCCCTCCCTCTCCACCAAACCAAACATCCAGCATTTTCTTTTCTTTGTCCCAACAGGGAGAGTGAAGCAAACGTGAAATTGGCATTTTCTGTTCAGTCATTTTAGGTTTTAGAAAATCCGATAACTCCCGGGCATTCGAGAGAAACAGGAAGAGGGTGAAGGCGGTAAACACATCCCATTGGTTCGTTGGAGATTAATGAATCCCATTGGTTTATTTTTATTGGTCTGCTGCAAAATATGTTTAATTAATTTTTTGAGACTATAAAAATCGGGTCAATTCCATTACTATTTGAAAACACATGATAACTTTATACTTTTAGGGTTTAAGGACGTTTTCCCACAATATTTAATAAAATGTGTCTGGAGAAAAATCACTGACTGCATCTTTAACTTGAATGAAAATAAATATATAAAAATGGTTTCATTTATTTGTCCTGTGCAAAGATATCCTTATTAAAATGATGGTGCCTTAAGGACAATGATTAAAAGTCATTAATCAAAATGAAGGTAAACTCCCGTGAGATTTGTCTTTATTGCTCTGATCCATCGTGTGGGGAATTTCAATGCACACTGTAACACTATCAAACCTCTTAAAATCCAATCTCATCTGCACAATGGAAGACTCCTCTAATAAATCACAGACAAGCAGCCCCACCCTGTGTACGGGTGGAACTTCTGACATTAATCACTAAATACAGCTGGAAACACGAGTAATGTCAAGTGTGCGTCTTTTTAGATCTAAGCTCCAGTGTCCTCCGTGTAAAACGCAAACTACACAACACATAATGAAGACATGGTGTAATTCAAATGTCAACATATTAACGCTGAATTGAGCATGTGGGAGGTAACGTCTGTGTGTTTGTGCAAAGATCTAAATGGTCGAGATAATGGAGATGGAGACAATGATGAGATTTTAGCAAGCAAGGTAATCCGGTGCCGTGGGAGGAAGGCGGCTGCACACAAATGACTTTTATATGAAAGGCAGCAAGGTTCATCATGTTTACATTAGATAGAAATAAGGTTTTTGTGACGGGGCGTCTTAAAACAGTGCCATTAGCCGGCTAATTGCAAAATCAAAAGTCTATAATTTGGCTTGCAATGGGTGGCAGTTATAAAATGTTGATTAGTTTTGGAGAATGGAAGGACTGTGATGATCCAGGACATTTATCAACATGTGTTCTATGTTCTTTATGTGTTTTAACTGTTGATTCTCTGACCTGTGTTGGTGATTTCAATGGTTTTGTTAAGTCTCTGAGATGACTTCTGTTGTGACCTAGGGCTATACAAGAATAAATTGACCTGCATTGTGATTGTATACATACTCAACAAGTAAGACCAAAGAGTGGAGAGGGCGGTCCTAAAACCGTATTTTTCTGATTATAAGTCGCAATTTCTGTCATAGTTTGGCCGGAGGTGCAACTTTTACTCTGAAGCAACTTATATGTAAAATGATTCAATTTAATACTTGAAAATTTCTATTCTATGCACTGTATAATATCAAATAATAGCCCGGGCTATTAAGCTATTAAGATGATCCCAAAGAATTAAGACAAATACCGGTACTGAAAACCATTGTGCAATTTAAGCTTTTGTTGTGTTGTAGAATTAGACTATTTTTTGTATTACTTGCTCCTACTCTGTGTCAAAGCTGCATCCCACAGCTATCACAGGCACTCTTTGATTCAAGTTGGTAAAGTAACCTCCTGCTTCATTAGGCCAAGAAATTAAAATGTGGGTGGCCTGTGGGGCTAGAAGAGGAGCTGTTTTGTAAGACAGTGTGGGAAGGAATGATGGGAAAACAGAAGCAGTTTAGGAAATGAAATGAATAAATGAGTCGGGACAATACATTTGCAACTGATTGTATAACTCCGTCACATGGAACTCGGGAACACAGCAGACAGCAGGAGAAGCAGAGATATGGACGGGACAAGTACATAATTATAGGTTTTGACTGGTTTAATGGTCTACCAGGAATGTCTACCATAAAATAAACACAAATGAGTAAAGGGAACACAGAAAATATGGTTGAAATCTCAAATGATTGTGTATTTAAGGAAAACGGCAGTGTAACGATAAAGGCAGCTTTAGACATTAAATAGATGACGTTTTGCATAGTAATCATAACGCATGGCACTTTTATAGCACTTTTCAGACTCATTCACTCATACACAGTGATACACAGTGATACACTCCATTCACAGGGACCGTATCTTTGTCTCAGCTGGAAGTTGGAGGACAGTGGTGCCGCACTGCTCACTGTGCCAGGCGCCTGACCGACCAGAGATGGGCAGGATCATGGATCAGAGGAGGCAGACTGGATCCTACTGTGTGCCCTTCTCCTGTCTCATCTTTTTTTGGGTTCGTTCTTTGGTCCAGGGCTAGTAAAAGTGAGCCAAGAAGGGAACCCTGCACTCCACACTTTATGAGACGGAAATGTTTGGGAAAAAGTCCATATCTGAGGACGCTCTTGAACCATTCCAAAACTGTGTCTCAGAATCCCACCCACAGTGCTGCAGTCTAAGCAGTGAGATGCAGTGACCAAACTTATGGAATCCCAAGGGTCTTGAGTCTAGAGCATGGAACTCAAACTCAATTTAAGACCTCTGGGGACCACACAAGGTCTGGTTAGAGCTGGGCAGGGCTGTGTGTGCGCAAAAGGTTTGAAGCTGTATTATTAAAGAATCTTCTGATGTGTCTAATAAAAGCAGAGAAAGTAAACCTTTGTACTTGTAGAACAGAGACGAAAACAGGGAAACCAAGAATCAAGCATTTATGGAAGTAGCTCATCATTTTCACGTGCTGTCCAAATATGTCTATGAACAAAATATGAAAAGCTGCTTGGATTGAACAAAACTGGACTAAAGGCATTGAGGCCCAGTATTGTAGAGTTTAATTTTAAAACAGTATTTAGGCAGGTGTTTTTTCCAATTGAAGCCTGGTCTAATTAACCGTTTCTACAGCCTGTTAGCAGCAATTACCATAAAACTATTTTGGGATGTAGCTGAGAAGATGAGAAAGGACTAAAATAAAACTAGGCAAAAGACAAAAGAGGACTGAAATAAGTTTCCCGGTGGGCAATTTTTACAGAGAGGCATGGATTCCGACAAAATCCGCCTAAATACCTTCAAGAAAAACACAACTTACCCATTATGTGTTAATTAGCACCTGCCAGACCTTTTCTAGCAGCACAATGTAGAGAGATACGTTTCTTAAATGACAGTGAAGAGTGTCTCGCTCAGCACACACCAGACATGTTTTTGCTTCATCTATCAAAGCTGATAAGTCCTCTCCTCTACACCGCCCTCCAACTCTGCTCCACGCACGTCAATATCTTTTCTTGGTGAGGAAGACAAAAGACGCCATGTTGACAGGGACCTGATATTTGCATAAATGTGAGCGTTTGAGTATTCATGTAGATGTGGGGGTGGGCATGCGGATAAGCCTGTAATATTCCCATTTTAGACAGAAAACACTGTCTCTTTGGTGATAGAGGGGGATGAAGCAAGAACGGGGCCAACTTCCAGATACGAAGCAGCAGAAGAAGAATCATTATGGTTGTAGGTGGATATGTGTGGGGCATCTTACAAAACAGTAATCTTTCATCCCGTTTATTTTATCTTTTCTCAAAAACTGCTTTCTTGTTATACATGAGCAAAGACAGTGAAATAAAATAGTAATGTTCAGACAAAACCTGCCATTATCCAGTGTTTTCTAAGTACTGTTAGGATTAGATAGAAATATGGTCTACGTGCAGGACAACTACAAGGACTCTGATGATGACTCCATGTTTTGACTATGATGTGACTGTCTCTGTGTGACACGTCTTTCCATGTGTGACGTGACAATGACTATATAAACTGTGTACCGCCTCCATTTTGTCTGAGAGAAAGAAACAATGGAAACCACTGAAACTTGAGAGAAACTTAAATAAACTTCCAGAGTTTGGCGCACCACGATCCGTCTCTGTCTGCTTCATTCCCGACAGTGCTATTGATTCAAAAAGCAAGGAATGGAATCAAAGAGTTCTCCGCCATACCTGCTGTCCAAACGTAGAGAAGTAGATGGCACTGCGTTGACAGGCTGTGTCCAAACAGACGGGCAGGAGGTGGTCCTGAACGCCGTCTCCATCTGCCACACAACACAGCGGTTATTAGAACAGACTGTAACAGTGCTGCTTTACCGTCTTTCCATTCTCTTTGTGTCAGCTGTGTTAAGGCAGCTGCCAAGTGCTTTCATGCATATTTAAGAAAAAAATAACGATAAATGTCGGAGTTTCTTAAAGGAACGTTTTTGTACCAATAAAATAGTTCATCTTACCATCATTAAGTGTTTTATAATTGGTTTGCAGTGTTGCTGATAATAAGCAAAAGGTGAATTTGCAAACAATTACACAGAAAACAAGAAAATAGCACATAATTGATCTGCATAATTAACATAATCAAGTATTTCATTACATTTTTATTCACTGTTTGGGTCATTCAGTCGTGATGCTGGCAGCCTGAGCGATGATAAAAAAAGAAAAAGTCTGCACCACTCCCAAACAGATGTTGCCCCAATTGTGAAGGGAAAAATAAAAATGATCAATGAATGGCAGAGCAAAGAAAGATCAGTGACTCAACAATAACGAGGAAATATACAATAACATAAGTGTTTGGAAGTGTATTTATTTTGACAGAGTTGTAAATCAAAGACATGAGGGTCTTCCTAAACGTATAGAGCACTACTTTATGAAACACACGGATATAATAAACTAAACATCGTTGTTTTCTATGCACGTTACTCACACGCTGCTTGTTTGCCTCAAGTTTCTTACTCATGGAAAAAACACCACAGTCTTCTGCAATGGACCACAGCAATATGGATTATGTAAGGGACAATGTATAGAACCCAGGTCATTATGGGAAAATAAGCGTGAACCGGACCTTGACGCGCATAAATACACTCAACCTAAATCGATAATCAGATCCTCTGAAAATGCGTCCTTCAATTTTTGTGTTAATGGTTACTTAGATCAGATTTTGTGGCATTAAAACAGTATTGTCATGAAAACGTTAACAGATCATTCTGAAAACCTCAGTGCATGTGTGGTAATACTGTATATGTATAATGTATTCTCTCATTAACATTTAAATGTGTTTATTTACTGTTATTTGTGTTTATTGAGCGGAGCTACACCATGGATCTAAGTGTGACCACACTATAGCGTGGCTAGGCGAGTAGCAGTTAGGCTAGCTACTTATTTAGATCAAACTGGACGTTCCCGTGGAAGGTGCAGTTGGAGATGAGGAGGTGGTGTATCTCTGGATAAGCTGAAAGTGGGACTCCCGTTAACCTCAGGAGCGATTCCCCAGTTCCTCTAACAGAGGCAGAAGTAGTGTGCTGAAAGCTCGTTGGCGAAGTGGCTGGAGTGATTTGACACACCTGAATTACAAGCACAGATAGCGTTGCCAGGCAGCGGTCATTATTGGTTTCAGGGGTTATCAAGACATAATGACCAGTAGAACGTTTTGAAGTTACATCCAAATCAATGGAGCACTCTACTTCTGCTGTGAGGAGCCGTGCCATAAAGGGCTTGTAAAACAGTCGTGGCATCTTTAGTCGTTTCTTGCTAATAATAAATGTCAATTATATAAACAAATGGCTCTTAACAAGCGGTTTAGCAGTACTTAACTAGTGGCCATGGAGCTGATACGGATTACAATAAACAAAACAAGCCATGGATTGTGAATAGGTCCAATTTAGAAGCTGTCACTGGTGCGCATGTTCACGGTTCCTCCTGTCAGAACGGTTTCTCTCTGTGCCACCTGTCCCTTCTTTCATCAACGCTCACTTTCATCTATCCACTCATCTGTCTGCCTTTTATTCACGTAAAGCTCATCCTTGCGCTGACAGTTTTTTCTTGAAATGCCTTTGCTTCCTCTCACGACGTCCACCACAACTGTCCCAGAGAAAATAGTATAGCAAATCTACAGTATAATCTGTGACTCATTCTTCAAATGTTTTCACTCTTTTTAATGTACTGTGGTTATTTCTCCTTTTGAGTTTTGTTTCATGAGTAATAAAAAATACATTGTGGCACTGCTTAACTATCACTCCTACTATACTACTATTATTATAATTTTAGTGCCTCGATTTGTTAAGCATTTCCAGTTGCCTTGTATCAATCAATTCTAATCAATACATTTTATTTATTGAGCCCTTTACAACACTCAGGGCGACCAAAGTGATTCACAATAAAATTACATAAAATCCACTACAAAATGTATGCATTAAAACAATAAAACAGTTAAAAAGCGTTAAACAAGTGTCACCGTGATAACAGTGTTAAAAACCAGTCTGAATAAATGCGTTTTAGCCTTGATTTAAAAAGGCCAAAATCAGTGAGTACAGGCATATCAGGGGGCAGCTCGTTTCTAGAGTCTGGGTCCAGGACTGAGAAGGACCGGTCTCCCGAGTGTTTGGACTTGGTTCTTCCAGGAGTAGTTGAGATGAGGACCTCAATGATTTGCCCGAGTCACGAAACGTTTAAAGTTCGGACAAGTAGAGAGGGGGCAAAACAGAGTGAAATTTTAAAATCAACTCGAGACGAAACTGGAGCCAATGCAGGGAATAAAGGACTGGGGTGATGTGTTCACTTCTGGGTTTGTTAAAAAGCAGCTTCAGCATTTTGCCTCAACTGAAGACGATTAAACTCCAAAATAAAGGGCATTACCGTCATCAATTCTTGGGTTTCTTAATGAATTGTGCTATAGAATAAACCTGCCTTGCCTTGGTGGTGTGTTCAATATCTGGTTCTTGCAATAGATGTTTTTGATTGCTTGTTATGTTGCTCGGGTTGGTTTAAAACGTGTACATTCCTCAAAGATGCAGTGAATAATTTATCCAGACGCAATTTTTTTAAATACTGGAGAAACGTCCCTAAACCCCAAAAGTAGTCAAGTTATCATGTATTTTCAAATAGGCATGGACATGACGAGAAAGCCTCAAAAGACTCAAAAAATAAATCATAAATATTTTGGAGCAAACCGATGGGATGTGTTCAGATTGGATGCATAAAAGCTGAAAAGGTCAAATCCAAGAGGACAACAGAATATAGAAAAGAAGAAGAATCTGATTTATAATGTCCTGCCACCTCTGCATTCTCTCACATTGGTATTCAGGATATAAAACAGCACCAATAACAATGCAAATCTCAAAATGCAAACAGTGACGCTGCTCGGAGCCTCATTACCAAACCCATGATACCAACGCGGATACAGAAAGTAACTGGGATTGGAAAACACAGTCGATATGAAGCAGGACAACACTCTATACTATGTCAGCGGCCCAGAATGCACTGCATGGACGTGGATGAAATAAAATAAATACATGTATATTTTGACATAACGTATAACGAAAGTATGTAAGCAACACAACTTTTAAATCGAAACATATTCTGGTCCATTTCGTGTGCTGATCCCTGTGAGAAGGTTACTACTAAAATATAATAACTACAGCTACAGAATAAAATCACAAGCTACTTGTGATTTTATTCTGTTTTTAATGTATTTATTAATGTCTCTGATTTGTGTGATATTATGTGGGTTGTGAGGCGCTTTGAGTGGCCTTGTGTTGGAAAGGCGCCATACAAATAAAGTTGATTGATTGATTGATTATGCACTTGTTTCAGTATTCGCTCAAATTAGATTTTTGTGCAAGACGCCCAGTTTAATTTGCATCAAGTTGCATATTAATATGTGCAAATTAACAATTCAACTTGACGCAAGCCCTAAACTCTGGGGAAAGGCTGATTTACATAGGGATATTCCTAGTAGTAAAGATGCCACACATGGAGCCGGATTATCCTATTTTCTCATTCATTGTTCGGGGATAAATGACTAGTATAATGTATTTGAAGACGAATGTAGATATGTAGATTTGTACATTTTAATAATCTTATAGTAACCATATTTGGCCCCAACAGTGAAGTTGTGCTTAAGAGAATAGGACTGCCATGTGCCACAGACATATGACAGAGTGGAAAGAATAACAAAATGTTAACAAAAACAGAGATTCCTATAAGCGTTTAGCCTGAATTTAGAAACTCCCATCTTGGTCTGGATGTTTGCGAGTCGTCCCCTTGCGCCCCCTCACATGTATCCGCAGAGAGCAGAGCTGACACACTCGGCTGGGGGACTTCGTCGTGCTTTACCTAATGATGAATTATGCATTGGCCGCTGTCACTTTGAAAAATGCAATTACCTCAGTGATAAGGCAGATGGGCCTGTTTTGTCTGGCGTATGCTGTGCATCTAATAAGGGCTTGGCGCTGGGAGGAGAACGGCAAAAATACAAACATGTCTGTGGGTGGACGTGTTAGCATACGCATCTATGAGCATATATGAAGTCACACATTACAGCCTGAACGTTTGTCCCACTGTGAGCAGTGAGGCTTCTCCTTAAACGCACAGTAACAGCAGGAGGGAAACAAAACAAAATACTGACATATCTATGATAAATAAGTCAAACTTTTTATATTTTAGTTCTGAGGACTAGATACATACAATATTTACTTTTTAATCAAGTGTCACCATGATAACGTAAGCCATCTTATTTGTTAATTTTCTTTGATAAAGGACCCCCTTGAAAAAGAGATAGTTTATCTCAATGGGGCTATCCTTAAATAAATAAATAAATAACAACTAATCTAACATCTAATGGAAATCATTAGTAACTCAATTGTATCTAGGGATTAAAGCAAAATATTTCTTTGAACATTTTTGTGACCTACAGGAAGACATAACATTCTAGATTGATTTAAAGTCCATGGTTATAGGTTTTCTTTCTGTAAAGCACAGTAAACAGTTACTCTGCGCTCTTTACTGTGCATGCAATCTGAAGGACGTAAAGACGGCGCCATGTCTAACTGTGCTGTTGACTGTTCAAACCGCTTTCACAAAAGAAATAAACTACATCCGTTTTTAGTGAATGTCCAGCCACTGAAGATTGGATCGCTGTGTCTCGTCATCTAACCACGCACCTGTAATGGACATGGGGCCGTTTCCCATTCACCAACGTTCATTTTGTGAGATAACACACTCGCTTGGTGATGAACTGTTGTAGAGAGCAGACGTTACTAAAGCGGGCCAAACGTTGTCTCTGTTTCTGTGTTATTCTGTTATTGTTTGTCCCAAATACTGCACTGAACATCTTCAGGAGGTACATAAGAATTTCACTGCATGTGACAAACAATAATAAACTAAACTAAACAAAATGGTAAGGGCATAGCTCAGATTGTGAGTGCATCCGGCTTTGTTTACAACAGTAAAAGGGTCCATCGGTTTGCTGGAAATATTAAAAAACCCATATCTGTGTTTTGTGAACTACCAAACACATGTACAAACAAACAAACAAGCCCTGGTTAAAACATAGCCCCGTGTCCGAGGTAATGAGGCAACATTCACACAGTATACAGAAGCTCGCAGACAATTCATACAACATGAGTTATTGCATTTAGGGAAAGACTCAAGAAGCTTTGCACATTTGGAGACTGACAGTTTGGCCTACTCGTGTTCACAAAAGCAACTCTGCACTGTCAGACGGATTCTCGATTTTGGATTAAGTGTTCATTCCACTGTATGAATCTATCTCAAACTCCTTCCACACAATTTTTTTCAATTCAATGTTATTGACCAACCAGCAACGACAAACTCACACTCTCCATATTCCTCACCCAAAACATTAGAGACATGTTGTGTTCCGTTAATAAATTCCAAAATATGGAAGAATTTGCTTAGTGTAAAAAAAATGGAATTATTTAGTTGAAAATAATTACTTTAGTTTTAGAAAAATAATAAAAAATGTAACAATGGAAGCCTGCAAACTAAACCTAGCTAAATGTGAGACAATTCTTTTTTAATTTGCAGAATGTGAAATAAACATTAAGGCTGTTATTCACATCTAAAACCACAGCCTCCTCCAAGAAGATTAATAGTTTTTGTCAAGCAAAAGATTTAAACAAGTACAACAATAAGTCTCTGTACAAGATTATTGCAGTTATAAGAAATAACCCAGAATTAGTCGCACTGGGAACATGGATTACTGAAATCCATTTGTTGTTCACACTTTCCATAAATTAAAACCATTTACATTTAAACCATTCATATACGAAACATGTTCCAGCTTCTGCACCAGAATATGAAACCAATTGGTCCTCCCCATTTGCCAATTAAATCCAAAACACATGAGTGGTGCAGAAAATGTCAGTGCTTTTCTAATACAGCCCTGATTATGTCATCTCCTTGGTTGACTATAGGCTCTAAAGTCTGGGGATTAAAAAGCGCAAGAGATTTGCAAGGGATAAATGTACAGCTGTGTTGAACAATGAGTAGCACTGGCCAAGATTGTTTCAGAGGATAAAATGTTGACAAAAGTGTGTGGCATTTTGTATTGTTGGAGGGTATGTGTGTGAGATTAGCCTGCTGCTGGTTTGGACTCTGGAGCTTGCAGAGAAAGTGAAAATTCAAAAGAGATGCCATTTCTTTGGAATCCTTTGAAGCAATGCAAAGAAAGCTTAGGCAACATGGACACAGATACAAGAATAATAATAAATCAGGTCCAACAAAGCCGTAGTATGCAACTATTCAGGCTAAAATACATGTTCATACATTTTGGTTGGGTTTGTGACACTGAAACTCCCAGCTTGCGTCTCCATATTTCATAAATATTTTTGTCATTTGTTATATATCTATTCTATTTATTTCATGTTAAGGCATTATTCTTACAATGCACATTTTACTACACATTACAGTCGAAGAGCCCTCTGCACTTGGAGCAGTGCTGGTTTGTCTCCTGCAGACGGTTCCCGGGATGGTGCCTCCTCTGCATGTTTTTATGATTTCACCTCCTTTAATGTGAAAGTCCATGTGTAAGTATGTACTGTATGTGTGTGTATGTGTGAGTATGTACTGTATGTGTGTGTATGTGTAAGTATGTACTGTATGTGTGTGTATGTGTAACCAAGAAGGTATTGTGTGTTAAATGTTTTATAGGAAAAGCTGATCCTGTCAGTTACAAGCTACAGTCACATTCACGGTCATATAGCTTGATAAATGCTCTTCCACTCATTTGTGACAGGCAATTTGCTATGTGACTTATAGCAAACGGATTAGTATTTTCCTTCACCAGGTGCATCTATACGGGAACAGCAAGCAGACGGTATGCTCATGGCTTGTTTGGGCCATGTTCTATTCCCTTAAAATTAGCTTTAAAATGAGGCAACCAACAATTGATCCAACCCACTGGAGACAAACGCATGTTGAGTCTGGTTGAGACAAGCCTTTTCACGGTTTTTTAGATGATAGAACATTGCTGACGTTAAAAAGTTGTAGTACAGATTTTAGTTTTAGAGAGAGGGACTGGAGTTTTCTGCTGACACTTGCCCTTTGTTGACCGAAGTTGATAAATTATGTTTTACTGGCGTTTGCTGGATCTGTTGGATACAGCAGCAGAGCAGCTCAACTGCACCTTAATCCTCTGGGGTCTATAGATCTGGGTGTCGTCTGCATAGTTGTGGAAGGATATGTTATTTCCGTGCATTAATTGGATGAGTGGCAACATGTACAAAGGATTAGGAAGAGGTCCAAGGATTGACCCCTGGGGCACACCACAAGTCAAAGTCAGGTTGATGGAAGCAGTCAACAATCTAAACCAAGTATGCCTCGTCCTCTAAAAAGAAACCTGTGATTATGCTGATACTTTTGATGCCTACCCCGTCCTTTAATCTCTAAAAAGGTAAACCATGGTCAACAGTAATGGTTACGTACAGTCACTTTTTAATGTCATACTCACCAAAATCGATAAACGATGACTGGCCAAATGTCTCTTCCGGGGGTGTGGATGGCAAAATGTCTTCCTTGGTAAAGTTTCCATTCTACAATGACAAATACCAGTTGTGATTTACCATACACCATATCGGTCACCATAAGGCACATTTTTATAATAGGAAATCTTTTTAAAAAGTATGGCTACTAATTTAACTATTTAAGTTAGAGCTAAGGCGAAGCTTTTTATTTCTAGCAAAAAGTGCTTGAATATGTTCAGCTGACTGTCCGGAATACACAAAAGGTTGACTGTTTTGTATAATATCTGAATAAGAAATGAAAATAACCTGAAAAGTATATACACTGAATGATAATTTTGTTTTTACCACTGTCAGAAAAGTGTATGGTATTTCTATAGTCAGAAGAATATCTTTCAAAGGTATTCATACTAACAAGCCCAATAATCAGCCCTATAACCCCACTGAAATGTCCCCCTTGTGGGACCAATAAAGGGGCTCTTATTAACCGAAATATTGCTTTGTTCACCTTTGAACTTAAGGAATATTTTCACGACTGCTGTAAACATGGCAGGCATTGAAGCGGCTCTTTCTAAATATGAAATTGATGCCGTCAAAGAGATCAAAACGCTTCACTCAGACTGCAGCAGCACCACAAGCGTCCAGATTGTGTGCTGGGGGATCGGATCTGAACTCGGAAGATTGACTGGTGCAACACGTCATGATTAAAACCTACTAATGATGGAGTGAGATGAGTGTGTGAAGATGAAGGGATTACTACGTCTTAATTGTGCCTTCTGTTCCTGATAACGTGCAAACGTCTGAAAAGCCACACGATAATGCCTTTGTGTGTAAAGAATTTAACAAGACAGTACTATGTGCTCGAAATAGATAAACAAAAATAGTTCTCAAAGTAAGCTGCAAAATATATCTTAAGGGCAATGTTGTGACATATGAAGTACTGTAATTCCTTTTGCTTTGCAGTTTAATTTGCCCATAGTTGTGTAAAGCTGCATCCTCAACACAGCATCAAAAATAGCCTAAATTCTTCTATTTGGAAGCCTATACTGTACATTTCAAAGGTGATATCAGATTCCCGCCTGTCAGAATTCTAGGACAGGTCGCACAGACACAGGATATGAGCAGCAGTGTCAACGTGGTGGTGGCTTTTAGCAACTTGAAGCATGGGTTTGGAAAAGCATGGGTAGGAGAAATATTTCCTACATATAGCTGCTTTAAAAAAAAGTAACATCTATGCTAACTACTCTTATTTTGGAATGTACATGCAGCGCATAAGTGATAATTATCATTTGCATATGCTGCTCTTTCCTTTATGAAGTTGTCCTTGTGCTTTACTATGGTCTAATATAATAATATTTGCTGAGGTCCTGAGTGCTGTAAGTTTTTACTCTTTATTTTAAGCTGGTTTGGGTTCAAAGAATGTGTCTCCCTTCTTGTCAACGTCTTTGTCAGAGCTCAGCAGTTATAATTATTTCTATTGATTTCTTTCCATTAGAGTTTAAGATGGGCGGCAAATAGTCATTATTGTCCGAGGGCGGATTAAAAAGCTTAGGGCAAGGTCTCTAGTCTGTTTCGGTCATGGCACATTTTGCTTTTGCTACTATAGCGCAAAATATATAAGAAAAGATAAGATAGACTTTATTGATCTCACACAGGAGAAATTTACAATGTACATATGCAAAGCTAACAAACTTGTGTAAAAGCCTTTTTACTGCTGCATAATTGAGACCAACATCTACTGTCTCTTGCACAGAACATAACAGTGTACTTATTTTCTGCGGCCTGGGTTCTTTCCTCTGTTGCATCTTTAGGTACAATCTGCTCTCACGTTCCCTTTTGGGGATTCATAGACAAGTGTTTGGACTCAAACATTATCTGCACCGTCTCCTTGCTTTTCAGATTTGTTCCTAGGCCCGTAGCCAAAGACTATGGCAAGTGTGAAAACTACACATTTTCCAGGTAACTTGTTGATTTCGGCTTGGCACTGTTCTCTTCATACAGCTTGACTTTGGAAAAAGAACAACTCTCCAGAGCTAACCTGCAGAGTCACATGTTGATGGCAATAACTAATGTAAACAAGTTTTTCCACACATAAATATTGATTGCTTTTATACATGGCATTATGCATGAAGCACAAGAGGCTGATCTTATAACTTCTCCTGTACCTTACACCATTCAATTCTTCTTCTTTCTCGTAATCTTGCTCAAGCCACACTTTGCACAGGAATCCAAGATGATGGTTGCCAGAGTATTTAAAAGTGGATTTGATAAATTGTGTGGTTGTGGCGGATCAGACTAGGGTTTCTGTTTAATCCCCCTTAAGCTTATGGTTAGGGTCAGAAATTGAATCTATTGGACATAATTCATTCACCTTAGTTAGCCTTGTACCGGATGTCTTGTTATCTATTTGACTACTTTGACCATTACACCTGCTGTCGTTATGTGTGTGTGTGTGTGTGCGTATATGTATGTATATGTATATGTGTGTTTATGTATGTACTCATTAGAATGTAAGGCAAATTAAATTGTAATCTCTGTATGACAATGTTTCCATCTACTTCTAATTCACCGTTTTATAACAACCTTCTCTGGGACTACAGGCATAATTTAACACTCCTGATAAAACCTGGTATAACGTGGTATAGTAGTAGTATAGTAGTAGTAGTAGTAGTAGTAGTAGTAGTAGTGGTATAGTAGTAGCAGTAGCAGTAGTAGTATTTTTACCCTGCTGATCCATGTCTCAAACGCTGGCTTCTCAGTGGTCAGGAACAAATCTATGAAAAGAGAAAAGACAGATTGTTATTGACACAGCTTTGGAGTCGGTCTTATTGAATGTTTAAGCTAAAGTTTGGCTAATAACCCACCTTTACGTGGGGTTGTTCTTTTATCCCCACCGCTGTCAGACTGTACAATAAGTCACTTTAAATGATCACTGTGTGAAAACCTGCACTACTATTGACACTGTTTCCAATTGACACTTGTCAATTTTGTTGTACATAATTATTGTCACTTTATTGTACATATAGCCTGCATGTAACATGTTTGCACATTTCCTCCTTTTGCACAATCTGAGTGTCTCTATCCATGCCAAATGTGACATGTAAATTTCTCCTCTGTGAGATAAATAAAGCAATCTTATCTTATCTTATCTTATCTTTTCCCTGCATCAAACATTTATGATCGGATTGTACATAGCCCCTTTTTAAATAAATGAAATAAAACAAAAACAGGATGTCCTTTGTTCTATTGGATTAGTAAATTAGTTTGAATGCTCATTTTTAGCTCAGTCAAAGCACAGGCTGTAGGTTATAATACTTTTGACAAACTCCAGTGTTATGAAAAATATACATTAAATTAGATTTATTAATTTTAACTTGAATATTGCAATAAAGTTAAATATTCTATAAGTCCAGTTAGAAAGACATAATGTGATCTTAAAAAGGTTCCATGTTTCAAAAGTCATAAAGAAGAAGCCTTTTTCACTTTATTTCTCAGATTTCACAAATAAAGTGAAATGGGCTGTTCATCAGTTGATCTTACGTCAAGACGGGAGGAGGGGGAAAAATATATTCAAAAAAAAATTCAAATAGTTTCAAATATTTCAACCACTTTTATGGTTGATTTAAAAAACAAAAAAACATGACAAGTGAGTGTTTCTAACAGTGGGGGAATGATGGTCCAACGCCTGAATGTAAACCAACATTATCTCAGTTTAACATGTTGCATGTTTCCTGCAGCATCACAAAGTAGCCACCTTCCATTTGACACCACTGCCCAGTTTGAAGCTCCATTGTTCCAAAGAAAAAGCACCGGGACTATGGAATTACTGTCATTACTGTCCCATGTTTGGCTCTCTCTGGTAAGGTACAAAAGGGAAATTTTACACAGCAATGGTCTTAAATTCAATTACTGGTAGTTGGTGTTTGTCCGGTCTCTTGATGGAGAGCAAATCTGATCTTAACAAACATCTAACATCTAGGACGAGCTGTCTGAAAATGTATAGTCTGTAAATACTCCAAGTCCTCTTTTTGAGTTGCATGTCCTTGTCCAAATCCAAGATTTGTTTGAGGGAGAGACATCGTCCAGATCTAGTTATAACATACTCTGCAAAGAGGATAACAAACTTTAAGTCTGCATAGATTATGCATATGGAGGGGGTAGTATGAGCTGTGTATATGCTAACCACAGTGGGTGGCGTGCTGATGACAATGTTAATCAGCCAATCAGGCCTCTTAAACAGGATTTAGCTTTGATTGGCGGGTTGGATGTGATGTGGCAGTGTGTTTGAGGGGCCTGTGAAGATGGCACATCTAATCTGGTAAACACTTAGAAAATCACTGTGGGAAACTACTTTCCTTCGCTTTAAGTTCACTCAGCTCAGCCAATGCACACCTTCCTCATGTCAATCCATCCAAAAGTATCCAAGAGAACAATTTATAGATTGAAAAGGTAACTGGGCTTTTCTGTGTGGGGTTTGAATGTTTCTGGGTTTTCTTCAGGCACTCAGATTTCCATCACCACCATAAAAATGCATCTATATGTGGTGAGTGATGGTGGTGGTGGTTGGAGGGGGCGATAGCGAAAACACAGTGGCTGAGTGGATAGCACTCTCGCCTCTGAGCAAGAAGGTCCTGGGTTCGAATCCCGGTCGGACCAGGGTCTTCCTAAGTGGAGTTTGCATGTTCTCCCCGTGTCTGCAAAGGTTTCCTCCGGGTACTCCGGTTTCCCCTACCACTAAAAATATGTACAATAGGTCTGGCATGTGCCTCCTGTTCTGACCCGCTCCCATCTCTGTGTGGAGTGAGAGACAAATGCCCAACAATAACGATTGTAAACCGCTTTGACTCTGGTCTGTGAAAGGCGGTATATAAATTAAGATTACTTACTTACTTACACTTTATAAGTGCAAGACAATATTATCATCATTATAATTATCATTATCTCAGATGCAGCACTTGGCTCCTATATTGTCTTGTTGGGCTCTTCAAGGCCCAACAAGGGCAACCTGATATTTGATCCGTCCTGAGAGCTGCCATTTTTAGATGCACACGTGCCAGAGAGCGTGCATGAAAGGGAAAGTGAACTCAAGATAAACTGAGCAAACTAAAGCTGCTATTATTCATTTTAACACAGTGATACATGTACCCTCATTCAAAAAGATTAAATCATTAATTTGTTCAGTTCATGCTGACAAAGGAGACCAAGGGTTACTTCAGTGTAAAAACACCCATACAGCCCTCGTCAGCCCTGTAATCCTGGGCACACTGTGCCTTTTTGCACCTGACTGACTCGTACAGTTTGGGTGGTTGCGAGCAACGAATATTTTCACACGTTGAGCTCACAACTGCTGATTGTGCGATTGCAGGGATATCAAACATGTTTGATATTTGTGGTGAGTTTTAGGGTCTGAGCGCTGAGCAGACGCAGTAAAACAAGGCTGTAGAGACAGTAAACAACTGTGGGACTGAGGACTACAAGAAGTCCTCTGGACGACTTACTAAAAAGTCACCCTTGAGCTGTCCTTGGGTCATGATGACCCGACACAGTGATTAAATGTAGAAGAAAAATACTCTAAGTTAGGAAAAGTGTTTGAATGTGTTTGAAGGTTGGAAGGAACACAAACTTATGAGACTTAAATGGGAGGATATTCTGATACTGTTTTGAGGATCGAGCCACAGCAACACTTACAAGTCATATTAGCAACAACTCTAAATCTCATGAGATATTTTGTTTTTCTTATGTTCCGTCTCCTATCTCAAATGTCACCACCTCATCATTGATTAACTTTATAATTTGCGCACAGCCAATACAGTTTATCACAATCTCTGCTGTAGCATAGACAAACAATACATGCAAAGAGATGCATAAAACATGATTCCTAACAACAAGATACAGTGCCTTGCGAAAGTATTCGGCCCCCTTGAACCTTTCAACATTTCGCCACATTTCAGGCTTCAAACATAAAGATATACAATTTTAATTTTTTGTCATGAATCAACAACAAGTGGGACACAATCGTGAAGTGGAACGAAATTTATTGGATAATTTAAACTTTTTTAACAAATAAAAAACTGAAAAGTGGGGCGTGCAATATTATTGGGCCCCTTTACTTTCAGTGCAGCAAACTCAGTCCAGAAGTTCAGTGAGGATCTTTGAATGATCCAATGTTGTCCTAAATGACTGATGATGATAAATAGAATGCACCTGTGTGTAATCAAGTCTCCGTATAAATGCACCTGCTCTTTGATAGTCTCAGGGTTCTGTTTAAAGCACAGAGAGAACCATGAAGACAAAGGAACACACCAGGCAGGTCTGAGATACTGTTGTGGAGAAGTTTAAAGCCGTATTTGGATACAAAAAGATTTCCCAAGCTTTAAACATCTCAAGGAGCACTGTGCAAGCAATTATATTGAAATGGAAGGAGTATCAGACCACTGCAAATCTACCAAGACCCGGCCGTCCCTCCAAATTCTCATCTCAAACAAGGAGAAGACTGTTCAGAGATGCAGCCAAGAGGCCCATGATCACTCTGGATGAACTGCAGATAACTACAGCTGAGGTGGGAGAGTCTGTCCATAGGACAACAATCAGTTGTGCACTGCACAAATCTGGCCTTTATGGAAGAGTGGTATTTCTCAAAGATATCCATAAAAAGTCTTGATTAAAGTTTGCCACAAGCCACCTGGGAGACACACCAAACATGTGGAAGAAGGTGCTCTGGTCAGATGAAACCAAAATCAAACTTTTTGGCCACAATGCAAAACGATATGTTTGGCGTAAAAGCAACACAGCTCATCACCCTGAACACACCATCCCCACTGTCAAACATGGTGGTGGCAGCATCATGCTTTGGGCCTGCTTTTCTTCAGCAGGGACAGGGAAGATGGCTAAAATTGATGGGAAGATGGATGGAGCCAAATACAGGACCATTCTGGAAGAAAACCTGTTGGAGTCTGCAAAAGACCTGAGACTGGGACGGAGATTTATCTTCCAACAGGACAATGATCCAAAACATAAAGCCAAATCTACAATGGAATGGTTCACAAATAGACGTATCCAGGTGTTAGAATGGCCAAGTCAAAGTCCAGACCTGAATCCAATCGAGAATCTGTGGAAAGAGCTGAAGACTGCTGCTCACAAACGCTCTCCATCCAACCTCACTGAGCTCGAGCTGTTTTGCAAGGAAGAACGGGCAAGAATTCCAGTCTCTCGATGTGCAAAACTGATAGAGACAAACCCCAAGCGACTTGCAGCTGTAATTGCAGCAAAAGGTGGCGCTACAAAGTATTAGCGCAAGGGGCCGAATAATATTGCACGCCCCACTTTTCAGTTTTTTATTTGTTAAAAAAGTTTAAATTATCCAATACATTTCGTTCCACTTCACGATTGTGTCCCACTTGTTGTTGATTCCTGACAAAAAAATATTTTTTTATATCTCTATGTTTGAAGCCTGAAATGTGGCGAAATGTTGAAAGGTTCAAGGGGGCCGAATACTTTCGCAAGGCACTTTATTGCTAGGAATTGAAAATTGTCCGTCACATCCTGTTCAGGACTCCGACATACTGTGTATATATAAACGTTCTGCATTAGGCCATTGTTTTCAACTCATTTTATATTTTTGTTTGTTCTTAAATTGCTTTTCTCCTCCCCCACGTCATCTTCACCCAGCCATCCTTTTACAGACAATTGAAAATGTGTCTGTAACAGGCTGCTAAGGGGAACGACAAACACTCGGGCAAACTAACAGCAACACCAGTAGGGGATGAAACTGATT